AGAGAGACCTGGGAGCGGAGACGTGACTTTCGCTTACTGTCCTGGTCCCACAGCATGTGAGGCTAGCGTTTCTAGTGCCTAAGATACAGGCTTCAGGCACCAAGGGGCCCTGACCACCTGCCTCTTCCCTGGCGCTCATTCAACGTCTGGGCTTGCCTCCAGTGTGGTGCGTGAATATGACGCGGGTGCACCACCCGACAGGCAATCTACAAGGTTGTTTTCTTTCCTCAGCTGAGGATCGTTTTGCCACTGATTTTTAGAAAGCGTGGAAGGGAATGAGGGAGAGAGGGAGAGAGAGAAACATTGATGTGAAAAGAGACACATCGACTGGTTGCCTCCCACATGCATCCGGACTGGGGCCGGGGATTGTGTGAGGGCCGATGAGTCACACCTACCAGGGCTACTTTTTGTTTTAAAATAATTCAAATTTACACATAAGCTGCAGGATAGCATAAGGAACTCTGGAATGAACGCTTGGCCAAAGGCCACTCACGTTTTGCTAATTGTCCCAATAATGGCTGTTGTAGTCTGGGCCACACCTTGCACTGGTTGTGCTCCAGTCCTCTTTAATGGATGGGGGATGGTGCAGGACAAGTTTCCTGCGTGCGATTTTCACTTGTGAGCAATTAACATGACTAGAAAGTTGCCTTTAAGTCCCCACTTCCATGTAAAAAGCCGTTCGGTTCACTGGGGTGTCTCAGCTGAGTCTCCAGTGGCCCTGGGCGGCAGGGAGTATGAATCAAGGGAAAGCCAGGCAGGACTCATGGCAGGCGACAGAAGTCCATGTGGACTAGCATACGCTCAGAGCTGATAACCCCTGACCTGGGCCTGCTGGGAGCATTCCCCCTCGGGCAGGGCGGTGCCAGGGCTATTTCCTCTGCTGGTGGGAAAGGTGACCACTGCGCCTCCCTGACACATCAGTTCCCCCAGGGGCGGGCAGGGGGGAGAGACTGGCTCTACTGGAATCACTTGCTTACTCCTGAATTAGTCCTATGGCCCAACAAGATGGGGGCACTCTGATTGGCCAACTCCAGTCATGTGCCCGCCTCTGGGCGGGGCTCTCTTGACGGACAGCCCTACCCCTCAGGAGGGGGGAATAAGGCGCGGGAAATATTTGGTCCGGCTCTGCCTAGGCATTAGGGTGAGTTAACTAAATGTTTGCCTAAATAGAGCAGGCGACCTTTAGAGCTGATAATTCTGTGTGGCCCCGAATGATGTTATACATACCCAAATGGCCGCTGGCAGAAAAAAGGTTCTCCCGGTTCTAAAAAGGAAAAGGGGGGTTCCGCTTCTCCCGGTGACTTGCGAGGAGTCCAGGTGGGAGCTCTGGTCAGAGCAGCGGCGGTAGCTGTGACGGTCACTGAGAGCTTGCGGGGCTCCAGGCACCGGGATGAGTGCTTCATCTGTTTTACCTGGTGTACCGAGGCCGTTTTATGCGATAGTCGCGTTCATACATGTGTCACATGCGAGGCAATTTCACAGAGAGGCGCAGTCGCCTGCCCAAGGCCACACAGCCTGCACTCCGCAGACTGCGGGCCCGGGGTGGCCGGCTCCGGAGCGCCCGGCGCCCTCCCAGGTGCAGCGACGCCAGGTCTCCCGCTGCAGGTGGCGCTGGAGCGGGCGGGGGCTGCCCCGCGCCGTGAGCGCACCTGCGGGCCGGGGTGGGGGCGGAGGCGAACGTCTCGGGGCAGATGGCTTATGGGAAGTTGCTCTTACTCCCAGAGCAAGGAGCAGAGCCCCGAGGTACAGAAAACAGAATGGGTGAGTTTAGGGCAGCCGCTAAAGTACTTACCTGAGCTTTGCAAAGTCCCAGAGCTCAAGCGCCAGCCCAGGCCGGTACCCTAACACTGCCCAGGTGAGCTGAGTGTCCAGCCCACGTGGGAACCACTAGTTTAGAGGCCTCGTGGTTTACTGGAGACAGTCGTAGGTTAAGACCCACCTGGGTCTGAGACGTGACAGTCATTGCAAACTGTGACTCTGTGCCAGCCACTTGACTTCTCTGCCTCCATTTCCTCATCTGTGGGGAGGCGTGAGAAGTCCCTGTACCTCATGCAGGGTTGTGAGGGCCCAGGAGAGGGTGTCTGTAAGGCCCTCGCGTAGACTTGGCAACTGCCGCACTGCCGGGAGGGGCAGAACAGAAGCCTGGTCGCTGGCAGGTCAGGACTGCGCAGGACCACCCAGGGAGGCAGTGTCGCCCACGACTCAGCATCACCGGGCTGAGGCTGTGGCATGGACTTTTGCAGCTGCTGAGACCGCGGCCCCGGCCCTCCCACCTTGGGCTTCCGCCTGGCCTTCACCGAGGGCCTCGAGGCTTCTGAATGGGGTGCGCTTGGAGTGGGACCGGGGTAGGAGAGTGGTGGTGCGTGGGCGCTGGGGGGCAGAGTGGGGTGGGGGAAAGGGGAATGGCTCTGAGTGCACTGGCTTAGTCCCACCACCAGGTGGCGACAGGAACCCACCCACTGGGCGAGGCCACCAGCCAGGCTGAAGGACGACTGGGAATAACAAAGCTATTAGAGGACCTTTTTGTTTGCTGTTTGTTTGTGTGAGTACTAGTTAGTATAGGCTAAAACTTCCTTTTCTTTCATCTCCATTTACTTCGTGCAACAGTCCTGTGGTAGGCGCCATTACTCTCCCTTAGGTTGTGAAAAAGTCAGTGCTGATAACTGGCAACTGGAAACTGAAGCCAGTCAGTCTGACTCCAGATTAATCACTTTAAAAAATATATATATATATATTTTATTGTTATTTTTATAGAGAGGAAGGGAGAGGGATAGAGAGTTAGAAACATCAATGAGAGAGAAACATCCATCAGCTGCCTCCTACATACCCCCAACTGGGGATGTGCCCGAAACCAGGGTACATGCCCTTGACAGGAATCAAACCTGGGACCCTTCAGTCCACAAGGCCGACGCTCCATCCACTGAGCCAAACCAGCCAGGGTCCAGATTAATCTCTTAACCCCTGAGGTCATAGACTTTAAGAGGTGCAAGGGACTTTGGAAATCCTCAGGCCCTGTGATTTCTAAACCTGTTCCAGGACAAACATCCCCTGAGGCTCTTTTAAAAAATATTCCAAATTCCTGGGCCCAGCCCATGCACTGACCTAGAATCTCCCAGTGAAAGGGGCCTAGGAATGTGTGTCCTTAAGAAGCGTCGAGACTTGGAAATATGGATCTAATCTCAGAGTGGGAAAGTGACCTGCCCAAGGTCACACAGCTAATCCCCTCCGAGTTCCGAACACCCTCTAATCCAGAAGCCAGACCACCCTCCTTAAAGAGGAGATGATATGCCATGTGACCCAGCAATTCCACTGCTGGGTATCTACCCAAAAGAACTGAAAGCAATGTCTTGAAGAAATACTTGAACACCCATGTTCATAGCAGCATTATTTTTTTTTTTTAAAAAAAGGCAGATGCAGCCCACGTGTCCATCAAGGGATGCATGGAACAAAGGGAGCTCACGTGCAATGGAATATCATTCAGTCTTAAAAGCAAGGGGATTTTGACAGGTGCTGTAACATGGATGAACCTCCAGGACATTCTGCCAAGGCTCATAATAAAAAGACACGTTCTCCACGACTCCATTTACATGAGGGACCTACAGTAGTCAAATCATGGAGACGGAAGGTAGCTGGTGGCCGCCAGGTCTGAGGGGAACGGGAGTGGGGAGATGCTGGTTAACTGCACAGAGTTTCAGTTTTGCCAGAGGAAGAGTCTGGAGGTGGATGGTGGTGATGACTGCACAATGATATGAACGTGCTTTATATCACAGCTGTAGGCTAAAAGCTTACGGTTCTTGTTTGTTTGTTTTTGTTAATCCTCACCCGAGGACATTTTCCCATCGATTTTTAGAGAGTGGAAGGGAGAGGGAGAGACACACAGAGAGAAGCATCGATGTGAGGAATTGGTTGTCTCTCACATGCACCCCAATTGGGGCTGGAGATCAAGCCTGCAATCGAGGTATATGCCCTTGACCGGAATCGAACCCGAGACCCTTCAGTCTGTAGGCCAACGCTCTGTCTACTGAGCCAAACCAGGGCAAGACCGCTGGTTTTATGTTATGTGTATTTTCCACTATAAGAACCACTTTACCGCTAGAGAAGACAATGTGTGCCCCGCCCTGGGAGCGAGGAGTGAGAATGTAAATGTGGTTTTCTTCATCTTTTGAGCGGTTTTGTAAATCAGTATTATATGGAATTTGATGATGAGTATTGTCAAATCGCCTCTCTGCTTGAAAAGGATTGTACTAATAATGTACTTTTCCCCTCCAATAACTTCACCAACTTTGGGTTTTATTATTTCACCTTTTCTTTATTTAACGGGTGAGAGATGGAGCTTCTTTATTATTTAAATGTGCATTAAAATGTATTAGATCTAAAGTGGAAGGTCCAGAATTTAATCAATGTCGTTGACAGTCTCAGGCTAATATCCCCCCGAATGTTAATTCCCAATTTGCTGTACTAAATAAAACAATCCACCCGGCCCTTGGAGCTCAGCGGTGGAGCATTGAGCAGGAACCAAGAGGCCACCTGTTCGATTCCCGGTCAAGGCGTATGCCTGGGCTGCGGGCTCGCTGGGAAGCCGGGCGGGTGCAGGAGGCAGCCGCTAGAGCAGCGGTTCTCAACCTTCCTAATGCCGCGACCCTTTAATACAGTTCCTCATGTTGTGGTGACCCCCAACCATAAAGTTATTTTCGTTGCTACTTCATCACTGTAATGTTGCTACTGTTATGATTCATCATGTAAATATCTGATATGCAGGATGTATTTTCATTGTTAGAAATTGGACATAATTAAAGCATAGTGATTGATCACAAAAACATGTAATTATATATGTGTTTTCCGATGGTCTTAGGCGACCCCTGTGAAAGGGTCGTTCGACCCCCAAAGGGGTCGCGACCCACAGGTTGAGAACCACTGTGCTAGATGGTGTTTATCTTTGATGTTTCATCTCTCTATCCCTCTCCCTTTCTCTCTCTAAAAAAATCAATAAAATATATTAAAAAAACAAAACAAAAAACAAGTCGATGTTTATTGTTACAGCAAATCAATAACACTACTAGGTCTGTGACTGAGGGGAGAAAGCGGCCCCTGCTCACTGCCTCGCTGGCTCCCGCCGGTGCAGCGTGGATTCTGGGTTCTCAAACAGAGGCGCTCAAGGCGAGGTGGGGTCCCCATGGCTGGCCCTCCCAGTGGCTGTGCACCTCCCAGGCCACCTCCTGTGACAGGACCAAGTGACAGGCTGGCCCCCCTCGGTCCCCCGAAAAGAGTCCTGTCACCGCAGCCCAGTTTCTCCCCGTCTCCTTCCTTCCTGGACGGCCCGGGCGCTTCCGTGGGGCAGTGGCTGAGCTGAGCTGGGAGTGGAGGGGAGCTTCTGCTCTTGTTCAGGGGGAGCTGGAGATGGAAATGAGCAGCACAGAGGCGCTGGGGGGGGGGGGCGGGGAGGGGATGGTAAGGGTGTGGCTTTGTAAGGAACTGAGTATAGGAGCCCTTTAAAGACCTCGGGGGTGTGACGAGTGACTGCTTGTTCATTGCTCTGGGCTCCTGGCTTGTGCTTCTTGTGTTAGATTCCCTTCGGAGGTCAGGGACCAAGTACACGCCGCGCACTTTAGCAGGTTCCACCTCAGTAAGGAATTGGGCAGCGGCTCCCCAGCGTCCACCACCCACCACCCACCACCAAGGCCACGCCCTGGACCCTGTCATCACCCGAAACTGCCCCACCTCGGCAATTACACGTCAGCCGGCAGCCGTCCCATCGGATGGCAGCCTCCTCCCCTCCCGCTCTCCGGCCACACCTCTGCCCTGACCCCATTGGGAACTCCCAGCCCATGGGCCCCAGGCCTGGTGCCCAGGCATCTTCCCCCCTTGCCCTTGGCATCCACTCTTCCCTGGAAGGAAAACTCATTGTTCCTTCCGTGCGGATGATGTGACTCAGCCGGGCCGGACCCGCCCTCCCCGCCCCCTCCACTGCGAGCCACAGCCACGGCCAGCCCCCCCCCCCCCCGGGCTGCTCAGGGGGGCCGCCGGGGCCACGCGGGGTGGGGAGCTGCAGGGTGCAGAGCGAGGCTCGGGGACAGGCTGGGCTTTCGGTGTGCGGACCGTCTCGGGTCCGTGCACGAGTCAGGGCTGGATTCCGTCCCGGAAACAGACCTGACAGTGGCCGTGTCCCTCAGCCGGGCTCCGGGCCGGGGGCCCTGCACGGGCTCATCAGGGTCCCGGGGCAGACGCTCCGTGAATCCTTGGTGTGAAGGCGCCGCAGACACAGGGAGCGCGGCACCCACGCACACGCCAGGGCGTCACGGTGCGGCCACCTCCGCACCTCAGCGAGGCCAGGAAACAGGACACTGTCACCCCCACTCCCGCTCCCGCCCCCCGCTCCAGCCCCCCGCCCGCCCCCCTCCCCGCTCCCGGTGCCCGCCGCCCGTCCCGCTCCGTCGCCGCCCGTGCCCGCCCCCGCTCCCTCGGGGTGCCCGCCGCCCGCCCCGCTCCCCGCCCCGCCGCTCCCGCCGCCCGGCCCCCCCCGCCTCCCCCCTCCCGCTCCCGCTCCCGTCCCGCTCCCGCCCGCTCCGCCCCCCCTCCCGCCCGCCCCGTCTCCTGCTCCCGCTCCCGGTGCCCGCTCCGGCTCCCGCTCCGCCCGCTGCCCGCTCCCGCTCCCGCCCGCTCCCGGTGCCCGCTCCCGCTCCCGCCCCACCCCGCTCCCGCCCCAGCCCGCTCCCGTGCCCGCTCCCGCTCACGCTCCCGCCGCCCGCCCCCGCTCCCGCTCCCGGCGCCCGCTCCCTCCCGCTCCGCTGCCCGCTCCCGTCCCGTCCCGGCGCCCGCTCCCGCCCGCTCCCGCTCCCGGCGCCCGTCCCGCTCCCGCTCCCGCCCCCGCTCCCGCCCCCGCTCCCGCCCCCGCTCCCGCCCCCGCTCCCGCTCCCGGTGCCCGCTCCCGCTCCCGCTCCCGGTGCCCGCTCCCTGCGCTCCGGTTCCGCTCCCGCTCCGCTCCCGCTCCCGCCCCGCCTGCCCGCTCCCGCTCCCGCCTCCCGGTGCCCGCTCCCTGCTCCGCTCCCGGTGCCCGCTCCCGCTCCCGCCCCCTCCCGCCGCCCGCTCCCGCTCCCGCCCCCCGCTCCCGCCCCGCTCCCGCCCCCGCTCCCCGCCCCCCGCTCCCGGCGCCCGCTTCCCGCCGCCCGCTCCTCGCTCCCGTCCCGCGCCCGCTCCCGCCCCGCTCCCGCCCCCGCTCCCGCCCCCGCTCCCGCCCCCGGTGCCCGCTCCCGCTCCCGCTCCCGGTGCCCGCTCCCGCTCCCGCTCCCGGTGCCCGCTCCCGCTCCCGCTCCCGGTGCCCGCTCCCGCTCCCGCTCCCGCTCCCGCTCCTGCTCCCGCTCCCGGTGCCCGCTCCCGCTCCCGCTCCCGCCGCCCGCCGCCCGCGCCCGCCGCCCGCTCCCGCTCCCGCCGCCCGCTCCCGCTCCCGCTCCCGCTCCCGCTCCCGCCCGCTCCCGCCCCCGGCGCCCGCTCCCGCTCCCGCTCCCGCTCCCGCTCCCGGCGCCCGCTGCCCCTGCGGCCTCGCCCAGCTTCCCCGCCAGCCTGCTCCCTGGCACGCGGCGCCGTAGAAATGGGACTGTTGAGCCATCGTAAGGGGACAGGCTCGTCCGACTTTCCGTTCAAGGTTGGCGCTTCTGTGTCATGAGGAGACACCTGTCCCCGCCCTGCGGTTCGCACCCTGAGTCTCTCCTTTCAGCTTCCTGGCCAGTGATGGCGAACCTTCTGAGCTCGGCGTGTCAGCATTTTGAAAAACCCTCACTTAACTCTGGTGCCGTGTCACATAGAGAAATGTTTTGATATTTGCAACCAGAGTAAAACAAAGACTTATATTTTTGATATTTATTTTATATACTTAAATGCCATTTAACAAAGAAAAATCAACCAAAAAAATGAGTTCGGGTGTCACCTGACACGCGTGTCATAGGTTCGCCATCACTGTTCTAGATCTTTCAGAATCTTTGTTGTCCTGCCTGGTGGACAGCCCACCGGGATTTCTTTGCTTTGGGCGTGAGGTCAGGTCGGGTGTCATTTTCCCTTTGAACACTAGATGTTTCCTGAAAGGCTCACCTTCCCCGTGCTCTTCGGCGCCACTGACTCAGGACCCAGGCCTCCATCTCAGCGCAGCTCCTCTCTTCTCCTGTCTGTCTCCTTGCACAGGCCTCCCGCTCCTCATCCCGGAACTTTTACCAAAGGTCCTGATGATCAATAGAGCAATATTCCCACGTGTTCCTCTTCAGGAAGCTCTTGGCCCTTTCATTTCCTCATTTCCACGTGTATTTTAGAACCATCCTAGCACATTCTCACACCCCCCCCCCCCCCAAAAACAAAACAAAACTAAACCAAAAACCAAATCCTGGAGAGTTTTTAGTTGATTGCATTGAATCTATAAATCAATAAGTTGTTCAACATCGATCTTCTAATTCCTTTGTTTTTTAATATATTTTTTATTGATTCTTTACAGAGAGGAAGGAAGAGAGATAGAGAGCCAGAAACATCGATGAGAGAGACACATCGATCAGCTGCCTCCTGCACACCTCCCACTGGGGATGTGCCCGCAACCCAGGTACATGCCCTTGACCGGAATCAAACCTGGGACCCCTCAGTCCGCAGGCCGAAGCTCTATCCACTGAGCCAAACCGGTTTCGGCAAATTCCTTTGTTTTTTTTGGAAGAGTTGCATATATTAAGAAGAGGACATAGAGGATGGGGAACCTAAAGTAATTAATTTTTTCCAGTTTTATTGAGGTATAATTGACACAACATTGTATAAGTTTAAGGTATACAACTCACTGGCTTGATACACGTATATAATGCAAAGTGATGACCGCCACACATTAGCTAACACCTCCATCCTGTCGCAGAATCGCCTTTCCTTCTTTGTCAATATTTAGATTTAAGTTCTTTATTGTAGAAAGTCTCCTCCTCCCCCCACAATGACGTCTCCCCGCCCGCTCCCGCCCCCCACCCTGCTGTCTGTGTCCACTGATCACCTCGTCTGTGTGCTGAGAACCTTTCGGATCTACTCTCTTAGCCACTTTCGAGTATGCAATTCAGTATTATTAGCTACAATCCCTTGCTGTACATCCGGTCTCCAGAGCTTGTTAATCTTATGCCTGGGAGTTTATCTCCCAGTCCTTGAACATGGCATACGTGTGTGTGTGTGTACTCACACATATGCATTCAGTCAGTTAATTAAACTTCTTTTTCTGTATGCTTTTTGCACATCTCTTATTCGATTTGTTCCCAGACAATGGCTGTATATTTAATGCTATTCAAGGGGCTTATTTGGAGTCAGATATTTGGCTCCATCTTTGGAAAGTCTGAGTAGCTCCGGGCGGCCCAGAGGTGGATGCTGAGAGAGCCCCCGGGATTCTGATGTGCAGCCAGGCTCGGGGATGTGGCCTGTCTGGGGCTCCCTCTTATCTCTGTTCAATCCGATTCAGCCCCTCCTCCCCCCTGGCCCAGTCCCATCCGCCTTGGGACAAGCTGAAGTCTCTGTCTGGGGTAACCCCCACCCCCTCTAGTCCGGCATCGCCTTTTCCTCCCCTTCACAGCCACACTGTCAGAGGGATTGCCACTGCGACCTCACCCCTTTATGCTTGCCCACTCCTTCCGGTAAATGTGAGAACGCACATGTAAACACTGACCTCTAATTCAGGCCATCCCCCCCCCCCCCCCCCGCCCCCGCTCCTCTGGCCCACCAGGCGGCTCCCCCTCACGCTCTCTTCTGAGGCCTGTGTGCCCCGAGTCAGTGTCACTAAGTGGTGGGGGCAGCTCCAGTCGTTGTCCCACCTGCCTTCTCTGCAGCTTGTGGGCCCTTGGCATTCCTTCCCCTTTTCTGGCCCCACCTCTCGAAGGATCGACTTCTGACTGATGAGCGAGTAAAGGGAACAGGCCCTGAGAGAAGAGGGAGGGCCTGGGAGGAGGGTGCCTAGGACAGTGATGGCGAACCTTTTGAGCTCGGTGTGTCAAAATTTTGAAAAACCCTAACTTAACTCTGGTGCTGTGTCACATATAGAAATATTCATAATTTTTTTGATATTTGCAACCATAGTAAAAAGAAGATTTATATTTTTGATACTTATTTTATATATTTAAATGCCATTTAACAAAGAAAAATCAACCAAAAAATATGTATAAAATGAACAAAAACAGAAAAACAATGTACATTTAGGAAAAAATAATAAAAACAATGATAATCAAATGGTACGAAAACTAGAAATTAGTGACTTTTTTGGTGCTGAAGTTTGTCTGCTAATTCTTCGATTGCAGGTTCATACTTGGTGCACTTCAAGGCCAAGCAAGCGCCACTAACTTCATCTGTTAGCGGTTTCTTTTGTTCGTTTTAATATTATTTAATGCTGAGGACAAAGTCTCACAGAAATGTGTTGATGAAAAAATTGTTAGCAAAGCCATCGCTAGATTTTTTATGTCGCTAAAAGTGTCAGGTACTCTGTTCCAAGCACTCAAATTTCTTGTTCGTAGTTGCACTCTTCTTCATTATTCAAATGATTTCGTTCCAGATTTTCAAGTTTCGACCTTAAGTCGACAAACACATGAGTCCAAATGCTACCTTGAAAACCTGCAAATTGCATCTCTAAATCGTCAATTTGCATCCATTGGAAATCCTTCAATTCCAAAGTACTGTAAACAACTACATCTGGATACTTAATTATTTTAATGGTCTGTTCTAGGCTTCTAAATTGGTCGAATCGTTTGCTGAACTGTTCAAATAACGAGTTTACTATATTCTGGCACATAAGTATGGACTCCATTACACTCGTTGTAGTGGCCTTCTCGAAATACTTTTTTATCCGAGGAAAATACTTGTGTTAGTTTCAGTATCTCGCTTGAAAATTTTAAGTTTACTTTCAAAAGATTTGATGTGTCCAAACATAACGTCGATACTTTTGCCAAAACCTTCTAATTTTAAGTTCAGCTCATTCATATGAACAGAGAAATCTGTAAAAAACACCAAATTGCTGACCCACTTATGATCATTGGTCTGAGGAAAGTTTGCCAGATCCTTCTTCTCAATAAATACCGTAATTTCTTCAAAGCACTCCACAAATCACTCAGGTACTTTACCTCGACTCAGCCATCTCACATTATTGAACATCAGTAGTCCACTGGAGGTTGAATCAACTTCCTGTAAAAGTGCAGAAAATTCTCGCTTGTGAAGGGGTCGAGAAGCTATAAAATTCACAATTTTTGGTACAACTGACATTAAATCATTCAATTCTGAGAATCCCGATTTGGCACACAACACCTCCTGATGGATAATGCAATGAAAAG